AGAATCAGAGGTGGTATTCAGCCAGTTCAGAGTGGTTCGCCTGAACCGGTAGTGAAGATCGCAGGTGGTTCTATTTTTAATGTCCCCAAAATCCTTTGAGGAGTGGAATCTGGGCAACTGAATGGAGCTGAGTGTTTACTGGCCGGATGCCCTTCCTGTCGCCAGAACCCTTTTACATGATGCATAGGTAAAATGTGGCTGTAATGAATAAGTAAGCCCCTCCCTGCTGCATTCACACACAGCCAGCAGTGTTTTGGTACAATCAACAGGGGGAAAATTGTTGTAATGATTGTTAAAACTTTTTAAATAAAAAAAAGAGAAGATTGGACTGCCATTTGTCAGAAATGGTATAGGATCTCCTTCTTGAGCGGGGGTGGTGGACTAGATGACCTATAAGGTCCCTTCCAACTCTGTTAATCTGTTTAAAAAAATATTGTCTCTTATAAAATTGCTCTTTCTTTTAAATGGGGAAAGAGAAGTATGATTCCCCTAGCCAGAGGCCTCAATGCTATAAAGCCACGAAGTAACATTATGTACATTATTTCATCCTCTTTCCTCCCATATTTTATCTTTTTATTTGTCAGAAAACCAGCATTGCTTATGAATGCCCTATCACATCTGTGTGTGTGTGTGTGTGTGTGTGTGTGTGTGCCAAGGCATCCCATACCTTGAGAATACTGAAGTGCACAGAATAGAATAATATCTCCTGTGTGCTCAACTACCGTGTTTTCCCGAAAATAAGACACTGTCTTATATTTTTTTTTGCCACAAAAAAAGGCACCAGGTCTTATTTTGGGGGGATGTTGTCCACTGACTCACCTCACCTGTGCGTGTCACCCCGGCCTCCTTTTTGTTATCAGAGGCCTTCAGGAACTTCTTCTGCGGGCCGGCAAGGCTTTCCTGAAGGCCTCTGCAGCCGATAACAGAGCTCCAGATCGAGAAATGGGCTGGCAAGGCAGGTGTTGGGGTGCATGAGGCCTGGCTGCAACTGTCCAAAGGTAATCAGTAGGGCAGCTCCATCCCTCTATCCCCACTCTAGCTTAATTTTTACCCGTGCACTCTGGAGTGGGCGGGGTTTTTAATTAGAGCTTATTTTTGGAGGTAGGGCTTATATTGGGTGCACATGTAAAAATCAAGCTAGGACTTACTTTCTGAGTAGATTGTATTTTTGGGGAAACACGGTAACTGATAGTAATGTCTTTCGCCTGGAGAGCTTAATGTCCAGAGAGCTTAATATCCAGATTTGCAATTTTGAAGTTGCTGGATGTTTTGGGGGGGTGGGGGAGCCCCATGTAAAATACATTGCAGTTGTCAATTCTTGCTGCAAAATCTCCATATCTCTTGGAGAAGCCTTGTTGGATGAACCCCTAATACTGATCTAGTTTACAAGATGACTGCTATATCTGGAAAATATATGAAAATCTATTTAAACAGTCAGGAAAATCAATCTGTTCCTATCCTAGCTTTTAAGGATAGAATCTGTTGAACTGCCCTTCATTTTTGTAGGAATAAGTCAAAAGGAAAAACTATGATATTTCAGATTAAATAGAATAGAATAGAATTCTTTATTGGCCATGTGTGATTGGACACACAAGGAATTTGTCTTTGGTGCATATGCTCTCAGTGTACATAAAAAGACAAGATACACTCGTCAAGAATCAGAAGGCACAACACCCAGTGACAGTCATATGGTACAATAAGCAATCAAATCATACTAGGAAACAATCAATCTCAATATAAATTGCAAGGATACAAGCAACAAAGTTACAGTCATGCAGTCACAAAGTAGCTGGTTACTCAACTGGATTGCACTAGATTGCAGTACTTTTGAGAAAATTCTGTTTACTATCTAGACGTCCATTTTGCAACTGTGTGGACTAGAAACTTGGTCCACTTCTTAGAAACAGAAGCTCAGTGCAGACTGCTACACATTTCCTACTAAGGATATCCTCACAGATATCTCATTTGTATTCACAGCCTCTACAAATCAATCCCTCATCACGTAGAGTTCTCTGGAATGCCCACCAGACATGTGGGCTGCTGGTTACTATATTGATTCATCACTCTGAAAGCAATTCATAACCCCCAGCTGCCTATTTCCCCTATTTATTGGAAATGATTTGCAATTTGAGAGGAGAGCTGGTGTTGTTTTTCACATGGAATCAGTTTAATTAATCACGCTGTTTGAACAGCTGGGTTGGCCATGTATTTATATTAGAGTTCAGCACCCTGAGAAAACTTGTCAAGCCCAAATCAAAATAATACAACTGGACAATTAATCACACCTCTCCCCTCCCCATTCCTGCCAGTTTAAAAAATTCATTCACACCTCCAAGTCTTGTAAATTAACACTCCCCAGACCAGAGGCTGCCATAACTTACCTCAATGTAAGATAAAGTGTCCTAAAAATATTAGGCTTTTGACCCAAAGAATGTAACTGCCTATTTGCCAGTAAGGAGGATTTTCAAAATGGGTGCTGCTTACTATAAACTAAACCAGGAAACCATTTTACCATCCATGCTTAAAATTAGAAATACTTTTGCCCCCATTAAGTTTATAAAATACGTTACGAAATAGGTTTATCAACTTTCGCCAAATGTGGGGTGTCCTAATGTGGGATATGATAGATAATATGGCCTATATTGTTGAAAATTAAACTAACACAAGATGGCATTGAGGATATGGAGAGTAGACTAGGTTAGGAAACTCCTTATTGGAGCAGATGTATTGCTTATAAAAGTTTATATCCCACCCTGCATTTCTGATTTACAATTCTACAATAGTTGTAATTGAAATTGGCACAGCAGCGCCCAAAATTCAAAGGCACCAGTGCTGACAGCTCAGTTATTTGGTGGGCACCAGGTTGGGGAACTCTGATTCAAGGCTTTCTGTCATTCTAAGGAGCAAGGGCTTTCAGAGATTCTCCAACCTCATCAGCAGTGGTGGGTTGCCCCTGGTTCGGACCGGTTTGCAAGAACTGGTAGTAAAACCGGCAGGAGGCTCTGCCCACTGCCCCGGATGTTGTCATCGGCGACCTGTGCATGTGCAGAAGCAAGGTGTGTGCGTGAACGTAGCGTGCATGCGTGCGATCCCATTGTGAACCGGTAGTAAAGGTAAGTAGAACCCACCCCTGCTCATCAGACTGGAATATTTGCTGTTGTTTCGTTGGTTCCTAAGTTAGACCCATTTAAAGAGGCCCAGGAAACATTTTCTGGCCTGGGTGATTCCCTTTTTAACTCTTCTTAGTGGTACAATGAACGGTTGTGGGAACTAGGTATGTCTAGTCTAATAAAGAAAAGGACTAGGGGCGACATGATAGCAGTCTTTCAAAACTTGAGGGATTGTTACAGAGAAGAGAGGGCCGACCTAGTCTCCAAGCATCTGAGGGCAGGGCACGCAGTAAGGGTGGAAGATTAATAAAGACAGAGGCAACCTAGAATTAAGGAGAAATTTCCTGACAGAACAATTAATCAATGGAATGCCTTGCCTCCAGAAATTGTGGATACTCTTTCACCGGAGGTTTTCAAGAAGTTGGAATGGTACAGGGTCTCCTGCTCAAGCAGGGAATAGATCTAGAAGACCTCCAAGGTCCTTCCAACTGTTATTTTATGTTCTTCATTATTTTGGTTATTGAGGTCCACTGAAGGCATGCCACAGGTGGACAAGGCCACACATTTTCAGCTTTCAAAGATAGTGTTAAGACTTTAAAGGTGTGGATTGAAATGTTTTACCTCAATAATTTGTCATTTCCAGCATTATTTTTGCTGAAAGAAAAAAAAATGTTAAATCTCCCATCAAATCTGGTCTTTTTGTTACAAATTATGCAACTTTGCCCTGATTTGGAGCTTTTTCTGTGGGCTAAAAAATGGGATTGGTTGCCCACCTCTGCTTTAGGAGAAGCAGCTGTTCAGTTCTACAGTTTCTACAGAGACTCCAGATAAGATGCGCTGATATTTCCATATTCTCACGAGCTAAGAATGGGAGAAAAAATAGTATTGTTCACATCTGAATGTATCTAGATTCTCACTTTTTAATTGGTAAGCAAATAGAAAGTCTATCATTGTATAAAACTTATACTTTTCAAAAATTTTACAATGCAATTTGCCAATTAAAAATAATGGGCATGTGAAAAAGACTGCAGAAAAATACACAGAATCATGGCATGTGAATTGGGCAAAACTGAAACAACAATTGGTATGTTTGCAGAAATGTAAAAAAAAAAAAGGTCTATCAACTTATATTCAATTTGTCCATGCCCATATGCCTTTGAGAATTTTTGGCTTTGATGGAAAAATGAGAAACTGTAAGAAACCACAACTGACACGGCAGGGCAGAAAATCTTATTTTGCAACCTTGAGCTGCTGTGGTAAATGCCATCAATTAATACAAAACAATTGTTTTGCTAAAACACCCTAAAGAATCTTGTTCTGTTTTCATTCTCATTTGCTATCAGCTTCCTGATAACCTCTAATACCTTGGGGAGTCATTTAAAATAGCCATCAATGCAGTAGTCAATATGGCTGCTAATAAAAATAATAATGTAAAATGTTCTTATTTTAGGCTGCTGTCATCGTTTCTGCCATATCGCAAAGAAAATCTCTATATTTGATCTAAAACAATTTAAGAAGAAAGAAAGAATAGAAATAACCGCATATAATTTGAAATGAGCACTTTGGGATCAGATTTAAATCCTATTTATCTAAGAAGTGGACATGAAAGAACTTTTGAAATTCTCCCCAAATCTACAGGCAGAGAAATTGGATAGATTTCCCCAAATGTCTTCAGGGAGGAAGGACAGTGTGCTAATATTTTGTCATGGGTGGGATTTCCTCTGTGTGGAGATACTAGCAGCATAGTGGGAAAAAATGCATGGAGGAGTTTTCTCTCTTTAGAGGTATGGGAAGACAGAAAGCTCGGAGAGATAAATACACAATGAAAGAGAGGACATCTTCCTACACCCCTTGGCCACCCTGTAATAAATTATGTAGAAGACGACTGTATTCCATCCATGAGAATTTCACCAATATCCTCTTGTTTTTTGTAAACTTTACAGCAATTGTATTTCATCATACTGGTTGAAATATAAAGGAAACATTCTCTGCCCAACGTTAATTCTACCATCCCATTTCCTGCATTAATCAGCTGATGCATTTGGACAGCTTACAAGCAGGTAAAAGGTAAGGGCTCTTCTGAATCCCAGTTTACTTCCAGTGACTTCAGAGTCACATGCATATAGTTTCCTTGGCAACAACATGTAAGTAGTTTGGCAAGGCCTTCTTCCAGCTTGTTTTTTCAACTTCTCAGTCTAGCCTACATCCCTGAGATTTGTCTGCATCCTGTCCAAGTATTAAGAAGGTCTGAGTCTGTGTAGCCTTTTGAGATCAGCTAAGGTCAGCCAGAAGTAGGACATCAAGGCAATAGCCTTTTGTTGGACTGTTCCTGAACAGTCTAAAATCATTGAGAAAACTGTCACATAGGAATTCTTCTCTGGTCTTCTTAAAGCTAATGAAGACAGTGGCCATCACTCAATTCGGTGGCAGAAAAATCTCAGTCAATCCTGAACAGCCCTGCAGGGAACAAAAAGATGTGACCTATTTATTAAAGAAGTCTAATCCCAGCCTTTCCTTCTAGAAGCTTGTTCCATTTCAAATTCTTGGATCAGAGTAGCTATCTTTGAGAACTTCTGTGAGTGTAAGAGATTCCATGAAGGACAATGTCTGAAATGAATGGTTGGCAAAATATTCCAAAGCCAAAATATGCTGATCCTGAAACATCCTTTAACGATTTTAGAAGTGTTCCAATCTCAAAATGAATGGTTCCGACCACCAATTTTAATTCCATTCCAAGGTCAAAACATTTCAGTAAACTTAGAATAACAGCAGAACAGTTTCAGTGAGGTCAGAACTGTCTGATCAGAATGGGATGTTTCTGAGGTTGGACTATTTTGACTTTAAAACATTTGCATGTCCCTAACTGAAAACTGGCAGTCTGTTCATAGTGCACACACACACATAAAATAATGTATTCCGCTGGCAAGACATTTGCAAAACCATTAAAGGTTTTATTTCTGTCCCACCTACTGAGAACCTGTGGTTAATTGGACCCCGTCGGAGTTTGGATTAATAATAATACAAGAATTCCATTGAAATCTGAAGCTCAACCCTCAACCCAATGGAGGTGGCTGGTGGAATTCATCCTGCAATTTTTGCAGATGCCCGAGATTGACATGTGATCGTCTGGCCTGAGGGGATTAATCAACAGGGATCTTGGTTGGTGCTTGTGAGTTAAATTAGAATCCCCTTCTTTTATTTCCAAGCCAGAGACTCTTTTATCAATTGCACCTTAGTAAGACTGAAATATCCAGGTGATTATTTGTGCAGAAGCAAAATGTCAGACGCATTTCTTAATTTCTGGGTACATATTAAGGGACGTCTCTGGGCAGCCCATTCCTTCTGTAGCAGCAGCTTCACCTTTCCATGGGTGATTTTTGAAAAGGACCAGATGTTCCCCCTTTAGCTCTTATTGGCTCTAATCTCCTTTTTATTCTTTGATCCTAACCCCACTTAAAAGAAACCCCATATTTAGGTCCTCTTGGGTGGTCCTCAGAGACAGCTTAGCTAATTCCAAACCCTTGTTACTGCTTTCCTAACCCACGAGGCTGGCTGTTCAAGGAAAAGAGTTAACTCTACCTTACCCTACAAAATCAGTAATTTCTGTTGCGGGGAGGGGGGGGAGAGCATCTTGACAGTGGGTGCTGATTGGTTTTCATATGACTTATTCTTGGAAAGATTTTCCTCCATTTTGCTATTTCAGGTAAAAAATAACCATTTGGTTGGATAAATATATTAAATGCCTTTTAACTGCTCAGTTGGCTCAATTTTTTTCCTTTAGAGATCATACAGGAGAAAAGGATGCTATTCATTATAGCAATAGCAATAGCACTTAAGACTTATATACCGCTCCATAGTACTTTACAGCACTTTCTAAGTGGTTTACAAATGTCAGCATATTGCCCCCAACAATCTGGATCCTCATTTTACCGACCTCAGAAGGATGGAAGGCTGAGTCAACCTTGAGCCTATCAGGATTGAACTCTAGACTATGGGCAGAGTTAGTCTGTAATACTGCATTCTAACCACTGCGCCACTAGGGTTCTTGAATTATATTCTCAATAAGATTTTATTACAACAAAGACATTGCAAAACTCAGATGAGAAATGGTCAACAATTCCTTTAAGAGCAACAATTCCAAAAATATTAATGGAAAAATGATTAGTTTCATCTCAAGCCTAATATTTTTAAGCAGGGTCAAGTTAATGAGACTCAGGAAAGCTCATGACTCATCTTGTTTCTTTGTTTGGGTTTCTTTGCTTCTGTTTTAATCCAGCTAAATTTTGAACACAGCCATTTTTTTTTTCTGAAAATGAATGACAAATTGGCAAATTAAAGAACTGTCCCTTGGCACATTTTGTATCTCAAAGGCTGCTTTGATAAAAATGAATACGTTGTTTCTCAAATAGCTGGTTCCCCCCGCCCCACTGCTGAAAAAGCCCACCACTGATATGCCCCCCCAAAAAGAAATCCTTCAAATCTCAGCTGCAGGCAAAGGGTTCAGAAAAAGCTGCAGATATCCTAAAAAGTGGAGGTGACCACATTTAAAGCAGGGAAATTTGGGTTCATCCATCATTGCTTCTCTATCTCCGTATCCTCTGACAACTCCAACAGCTCATGGCTATCATGGCCACCAGGATCGTATTAAAAAAAGAACATTCCCAGAGGGTTGGTTTGCATAAAATTAGCATATGGGAGATGGTTTAAGTTAGAAGCAACAAGAAATACATCTATCAGTAAGGAAGGCTGACCATAAAATATCATGCTTGGATTGCTGCTTATTCTGCAGTGCAAATGCAGCTTTAATAGTTGTTATTAAATTTGCATGGCTGCACACCTCACTATGCAAAGCAACTCCTGTTGGGTTACTGTAAAATCATAAATATAACAATATTAAAATTAACAGGATTAGATTTTTAAAAATCCAGCAAGAACAAGAATGATACAGTGGTGGCATCTTCCCTATTAGTCCACGAGCGACCTCCAAATACAGAGTATCCCCATCAGGACCCCAAGACCACCAGTAGAGCCAGATTTTAATCCCCTCCTGGAAGGCCAAATGGGACTCCTTGTCCGATGAAGTCCATAGCATGCCCCATTTGCCAGATTGAATGGGGTAGTTGGTCAGTTCCATTTAATGCAAGATAGTTCCTCAGACTTCCTCAGAAAGGGACATGGTGGCTCAGTGGCTAAGATGCTGAGCTTGTTGATCAGAAGGTCGGCAGTTCAGCAGTTTGAATCCCTAGTGCGGCATAATGGGGTGAGCTCCCGTTACTTGTCCCAGCTTCTGCCAACCTAGCAGTTCGAAAGGACGTAAAAAATGCAAGTAGAAAAATAGGGACCACTTTGGTGGGAAGGTAACAGCGTTCCATGCACCCTTGGCATTTAGTCATGCCGGCCACATGACCACAGAGATCGTCTTCGGACAGTGCTGGCTCTTCAGCTTTGAAACAGAGATGAGCACCGCCCCCTAGAGCTGGAAACGACTAGTACGCATGGGTGAGGGAACCTTTACCTTTACTAGTTCCTCAGAACCTGGTTCCATGCCAAGAAAGGCTTTAAAAGTAATAACCAACACCTTGAATTGGACTTTGAAGCAAACCAGCAACCAGTGCAGCTTGAGCAACAGCGGTGTTACATGAGCCACCCTATTGTCCACACTCTTACATTCTGTACCAGTTGGAGCTTTGGAATATTCTTCAAGGGTAGCCCCCGTATAGAACACATAGAAGTAAATTACTGTTAATAGATAAGACCAGCTTGGTCAGAACACCTTTTCAAACAGAAGATGCTGTTCTCTTAACACAAAGGATCATGGCAGTCCTACTCTAGCTCCAATAGCAGATGTGCCATCAAATCCTGGATCTTTTTGATCTCTCTTTATTATTTCTACCAATCTCATGTCAACAGGAGCAAAGAAAGAAGCAGAAATTGTGGGTCCAGCCTCCCAACTGGCCTATCGCTCTTTCCGTTGAGGCAGTGGCAGGCATGAAATTGCTTGAATGTGGGAGATTCCTTGGGCACATGGTTACTTTTGGTGGTTTTTGCTAGTCTCTCCCAATGTGGTGCGTAGATAAACCAAAGTCTCTTTTAAAATATTGTCGACAGCAAGACTGTTCCCTACATGAGTTTGAATTGGGAGTTGGTGATCATTAGAAATGTTTGACTTGCAGCCTGCAGTCCGACATAGCTATAACTACATACAACATAGCAAAACTAGCAGTAATCATCTCATACGATCTAAGCCCCAGAGCTCACTGTAACAGCATTGCCAAAAAGGCATTAAGAGTTGTTAACCTAATTTTGCAAAGCTTCTTCTCTGGTAACACTGTACTGCTAACTAGGGCATACAAAACCTTTCCCAGAGCAATTCTCAAATTCAGCTCATCTGCCTGGAATCCACGCTGTATATCGGACATTAATACAATTGAGCGGGTCCAGAGGTATTTCACGAGAAGAGTACTCCACTCCTCTGCTCACAATAGAATCCCTTATGCCACCAGGATTGAAATTTTGGGCTTGGACAACCGTGAACTACACCGCCTATGGTCTGACCTAAGCATAGTACACAAAATTGTCTGCTACAACATCCTTCCTGTCAACGACTACTTCAGCTTCAACCGTAATAATACACGAGCACACAATAGATACAAACTCAATGTAAACTGCTCCAAACCAGATTGCAGAAAATACAACTTCAGCAATAGAGTGGTCAATGCCTGGAATGCTCTACCTGACTCCTTTGTTACTTCCTCAAACCACCATAGCTTCAACCTTAAACTGTCTACTGTGGACCTCACACCATTCCTAAGAGGTCCGTAAGGGGGGGGCATGCCTAAGTGCACCAGTGTGCCTACCGTCCCTGTCCTACTGTCCCCATTTATTTGTACTCATTTCATGTGCTCCTGTCCATGTTTATACTTATACCTGCTATCTTGTACATGTTTGACTAACTAACTAACTAACTAACTAATTAAATAAAAATAAATAAATAAAATAGCTATTATTCTTAGGTATCCTTCAACCTCCACATCACATTAGCAGACCCTTCTGTTTCTTTCTTCCATTTATTTACAAAGAATATTCATATTCTGTAAATCCCTGGATATTTTCCCCCTTGATTATTTTGGCACAGCGTGCTCGGAAGATATTTGCTTTGTTTTACAGTGAGCTCTTCTCTTCCCTGGAAAGGGAGAGCACCAGAAAAAACAAAGGATGGCTGGAGTATTTGTTAATATAAGTCTATTCTCCTCAAATATTTATACGGATTCATATGAAGAAGATTAAATGCTTGCAGAATTCAACATACACACATACGCACACATGCAGGCATATGTTTGACTCAGAAGGGGGGCTCTTGAGAATTGCCTTAGCAAATGTGTTGAATTTGAACACACACAAAAAAGGGGGAGGGAGGGAGCAGAGGGAAAGAAGAGAAAGCAACTTCTGGCCTTTGGTGAACTTGCTTTGTGTTGTGGACGCCAAAAATTTCATTTCAGCATGACCTTAGAAGAATAGTGATACTTTTAGCATTTCCTGGTATTTGGAAGGAAGGAATGTTTTTATTTGAATGCAGATGTCATTTGGTTTATATGAAGGATTTGGTAACATGTCTATGCCAGTTCTACACTTATCCCAAATTTCCTGCGACAGAGGGAGAACATATGTTAGGTCTCCCTGTTTGCTTGGGGGGGGGGGGGGGGGGGGGGGGGGGGAGGAAAGGGGGAGGGGAGAAAAAGATTCAGTCCTCCAGAAGCCTCTACTCTAAACATTGTGACTTTGTACAATTTACAAAATGTTTCATCTCCATTAAACAATAAACCCCTTGACCCCCCTGGCTCAGTTTCAAGATTTTGCTATTTGAGAAGGTACTTGTATAATAGATGGGGAGTATAAATGGAAGGGTTGAAAGGTTAAGGAAAACTGTTTAATTATTTCTCCGCTGCATAAGCTGCAAGACAGTGGCGTTACATGCTTGCCTCCCCCTGTCTCTCTCCCCCTCAGCATTCTTCTTCTTCTTCCTCCTCCTCCTCCTCCTCCTCCTCCTCCTCCTCCTCCTCCTCCCAGGATGGTTATGTGGAAGGAATCCACGCAGCAAAGGCGGAAGGCAGGTTGCTCACCAAAGCTTCCAGCTGTGTTTATGGACAAATAGTCTCTCCATACTCTTCCGCCTCAGAATTTTTGAGTTCCCTGGGCCTTCTACTCCCTGCCAGGGAAGAATCTGTGCCAATCCTACGGCATCTGTTCTGTCAAAAGAAAGAAAGAAAAATCTTTGATTTGCTACCCTGCTCTTGCTTGCTTCCCAGCTGCAGTGTTCTATGGTCTTTTCCTGTTTTTTTTTTGGTTTTTTGTTTTAGGAAACCCTTGGCTGAATTTTATTTTTCCAACATCCCCGCCTGTTACCGAGGATGCTGTGCACTCATCCTAACGGCAACAGGAGCACCTTCTCTTCCTTTGTGTCAGAGAAGAAGAGGGAAATGCTTTCTTTCAAAGGGAAACTATTCACTCTTGTTTCTGGTTCTTTGAAATTATCTTGGGCAGTGGCTGTCAATCAGAGGTAGAGGTATCTCAGGTAGGACTCAGAAGTAGCTTAGCTGGGATAGAGAAGAGGTCATTAAAACTGTAACTTACTCTAAATCAGGGATATCCTACTTAGGCAACTTGGACTGCAAGGCCATCAAACCGGTCAATCCTAGAGGAGATCAACCCTGACTGCTCTTTAGAAGGCCAGATCCTGAAGATGAAACTCAAATACTTTGGCCACCTAATGAGAAGGAAGGACTCACTGGAGAAGAGCCTAATGCTGGGAAAGTTTGAAGGCAAAAGAAGAAGGGGGCGACAGAGAATGAGGTGGCTGGATGGAGTCATTGAAGCAGTCGGCATGAGCTTAAATGGACTCCAGAGGGTGGTAGAGGACAAGAAGGCCTGGAGGAATGTTGTCCATGGGATCGTGATGAGTCGGACACAATTTTGCAACTAACAACAACAACAACAACAAAGCTTGTGGACTTTAACTCCCAGAATTTTCCATCAAACTTCCACCAAAGGAGATGAATCCTCTTGATGCCAATTCCTTCATCCAATTAACAGGATCAAGTTACATTACATTAGCCCATTACATAATGAATGGGCTGAGAAATGGTTAGGTGGAAGGAATCTAAAAAAAGAGGTGGATACGTTTACAGTCATTCTGTTTTGGTTATCATTTAGAGCTGGCTGGGGAATTCTGGAGGTTGAAGTCCAGAAGTTTTAAAGTTGCCAAGGTGAGGCACCCCTGCTCTAAGTGATCCTCTGAATTGGTTGAAAGACCAGGCATCGATTAACCTCTTTTGATGGAAGATATGAATCCTCTCAATACAGAAATCCAAATATAAGTGTCCATAAATATTGGAATCCTAAAACGGCCAATAAAGTGCCATTACTGATAATCTCTTAACTTTAGAAGAATACGGAGGTAAATGCTCCTCTGTGCAGTTATTTAAACTGCTGAGGTTTTACTGAAGAAATCTCAGTAGGAAAGGACTTCTCATGCCTCTGAGTTAAGGAAAGCCCCCAAAGCCATCTGAAAGGAAAGTCAAGAGTCACATTTGGGTTTGTAATTCAATCTTAAATGATTATGAAATTTGGGGAAATGGGTGTTTGTGACACTGCTGGGCTCAGCTTCCTCTTCCTGCAGGGAGAGGACATCAGAGGAATAACTTGTAGCTTAAATTGTATGACCCCTCTGTGACCCACGACAAACCCATTCAGGACAATTCAAGTCAGAAGAAAGTGGATGAGCTTCCAGTTATTTGTCGAACCAGAGAAGGAAAAAAATTCCCTTTATGACTTTCAAGCACTCTCTGTGTGTGTGTCTCTCTCCCCTCCGTCTCTCTCCTCGTGCTTCACATTTCACCTTATAGAGGAAGAACAGGGGTAGGTAAAAAGCCAAAACGATTTAGAAACCACAGGTGATGTGATCTGTTAAAAAGAAAAAAAAAGAACCCTAGATTTTGATTCCTGATTGTCTGAAGCAGATGGCAAAGCCATCAGGCAGCTTCCCTGTAGGTGGAAACATTTTGCTGAAGCCATTACCACTTCCCAAGGGTCTTTCTACCTGTCCCAAACGTGTGCAAATCATTTTTCTTGCAGTGGGCTAATTCTGAGAAATAGCAGGAGGGAGATAAGTTGAATACCAGCAAGAGGTGAACGAAGGAAATAACTTGGCCCCTGCCAGCACTGAGATATGCTGGAGTGCAGCTTTGTGGGTATGGGAGATGAGAGCCGCAGTAAGGAATGCTGCAAAGATGGCTGACTGTCACCCACCTCATTTTCCACCTCAGGGATGAATAGAATAGAATAGAATAGAATAGAATAGAATAGAATAGAATAGAATAGAATAGAATAGAATAGAATAGAATAGAATTTTTTTTATTGTGATTGGACACACAAGGAATTTGTCTTTGGTGCATACGCTCTCAGTGTACATAAAGGAAAAAAAAGGTTCATCAAGAATCATAAGATACAACACTTAATGATAGTCATAGGGTACAAATAAGCAATCAGGAAACAATATCAATATAAATCGTAAGGATACAAGCAACAAAGTTACAGTCATATAGTCATAAGTGGAAGGAGATGGGTGGTGGGAATGATGAGAAAATTAATAGTAGTGCAGACTTAGTAACTAGTTTGACAGTGTTGAGGGAATTATTTGTTTAGTGGAGTGATGGCGTTCGGGAAAAAAACTGTTCTTGTGTCTATTGTGTTCTGTGTGCAGTGGTCTATAGTGTCGTTTTGAGGGTAGGAGTTGAAACAGTTTATGTCCAGGATGCGAGGGGGTCTGTAAATATTTTCACAGCCCTCTTTTTGACTCGTGCAGTATACAGGTCCTCAATGGAAGGCAGTTTGGTAGCAAATGAAGAACTGGGGACAGAAGGCAGAAGAGCAAATGAGAGAGGAAAGGTTGATCTAAAATGGGGTCCTGAAAAGGGTGATCCAGATGGTGGACACAAACTTATTTTTCTCTCAAGTTTAGTCTTCTCAAAAAAGAGAAAGAAAAAAAAGGAGCAATTTTTGGAAAGTTGAATATCCTTCATTTGAATAGGCCTCCATTGCAGTATGTCCATTAAATAAGGAAAAGCCAGACCAAGAGCTGAAGATGAATGGTTTAAGTTAGGAATGTGTACATCGGTCCAAAAGGGATCTCCGTCAATGTATATTCACTTACTATATCATGCGGTCAGTTTTCTGCAAGTTATTAAAATGAAATAAAATCTGTATGTTTTTACACAGACCTTTCTCTAAGAAAATTCCATTTCCTATGCAACTCTCCCTAATATATTCTGCTTTTAACACAGTTATCCCAATATGATTTATTTTTATATGCCACTTGCTGCTCACAAACACAACTCCTGGGAATCAATGGTTTTCGTCTGCAGCATTCCACAATGCATTCATCATATACTTAATGCATTAATGTCATCTTGGCTAAGAAAGAGGAATATCTTATTGGCAGATTACAATCTGGCAGATTTTGATCTAAAATCTATGCCAGATTTCTTTTACCTCCCTGGGCAAAACAAATTCTTTGCATTCAAAAGGTCCTACCTACTGATGGGCTTCCCAAAGCTCCCTGGGTTTCAATTTTCACAGTAAACAGACAGACACTGGGTTCAATAAGCATTAAGTCTGATTCAGCAGTATGCTTATTTTGTTATGTCTTAGATTCATCCAATGTACTGGGATGCTCAAGAAACTGGAATGACCAGTTGTGGGAACTAGGTATACATTAAGAAAGTATAGTTGAAGAAATATATGACAGCATTCTTCAAGTTGTGGGGTCCTTGGTGCTCTCCAAGATTGGTTGTTTTCTTGAAGACATTTCACTGCCCAACTTGGTAACATCATCAGTGCTAGAAGGGAGTGAGGTTTGCTCTCTGTTTATATATTCTGTATGTGGCTCACCCTGTCAGTGTTGGTAGGAGTGTTATTGGTGGTTCCTAGATTAGGTTGTTGTTTACTGTTTAATTGTTTTTCTGAGTTGGTGATTCCTTGATTGAAGTATGGTTTACTGCTTGATTGTTGGTCTGGTGTTAATCTCTGCTTATCTGGATGTTGATTGCTGAAGAGGAAGTGTTTTAGTCCTTTTTGTTTCCTTTTTAACTTTTTGATTTTCTCTTTTGAATTATATGTAGATGTTGTTTAACTCGATGTGCCTGTTGATGGCTGATTTGTCTGAGTGCCAGGCTTCTAGTACTTCTCTACCGTTTTTGGATTTAGATTGGTCTAGGATGTTTTTCAAGTTCCTAAAAAGATGTCACCATACAAGACCATAGTCTGTCCTTTAACATTCCATGTTGGCGAAGTAGTGGTGCAGTGGTTAGAATGCAGTACTGCAGGCTACTTCTGCTGACTGCCAGCTGCCAGCATTTCAGCAGTTTGATTCTCACTGGCTGGTTGACTCAGCCTTTCATCCTTCTGAGGTCACTAAAATGAGGACCCAGATTGTTAGGAGCAGTATGCTGATTCTGTAAAACCACTTAGAGAGGGCTGTAAAGCACTGTAAAGCAGTATATAAGTCTAAGTGCTATTGCTATTGCTATTCCTGAGTTCATGACCTGAAATATTGATCTTTTATAGGAAAGCAAATTTCAGAAAAAGTGTCCCAATAATTATGGTAGTTCAACCAACTGCTTAAGAACATGTGGGGTCCTCTTTGCTGGGTCTCTCCAAACACAGATTTGGAATATTGATTGAAATAAGAGATCTTTTTGATATGATGTCTTGAACTTAGTTTCTTAAACTCCTTCCATGTATTACTTTCAGTGGGATGAATATTTGAAACTCGTTTTCAAGTGTGGCCTTCTAGACGTTTGTTTGGGATTTCAATTCTCACAATCCCCAGTGTGGACTTTGGCAACACGATGAGGAAGTTCTAGTGCAACTATCATCCCTAAATATTTTACAAAGCATAACTAAAGTTGGATGATTGCAGCAATAAGATTCTGCAAGACTAGAACTATTCCCGGGCAAGCATTTTTAGTTTTGCTAGGTCGTACTGAACTAGTACAAATGTTGAACAAGGGAATATTATTCAACTCTCAAGATGTTTCTGAAATTCTCCTCAACCAAATTTCTTTTCTGTGGTTTGGAATTGCCCATTATCTGATACTATATTCAGAATGCAGCTGACTATTTGGCATCATCTCTTCAATGTTCTAAGTTTTCTTCTTGTTGCTGAATTGTGCACAGAGATTTGAGCACACACCACTTGAAGACACTTGCATCTTTCCTATCCTTCTGCATTGTTATTTCACATGTTCATTGATAAGCACTGCAAAAAGCAATCTTACTGCAATGGTATGGTATGGTATGGTATGGTATCTTTGAGTCCTAGTGGACAACCATTTAAATATGAGCCAACAGTGTGCAATAGCTGTCAAAAAAGCCAACACTGTTCTAGGCTGCATAAACAGAGGGATAGAATCAAGATCACGTGAAGTGTTAATACCACTTTATAATGCCTTGGTAAGGCCACACTTGGAATACTGCATCCAGTTTTGGTTGCCATGATATAAAAAAGATGTTGAGACTCTAGAAAGAGTGCAGAGAAGAGCAACAAAGGTGATTAGGGAGGCTAAAACATATGAAGAACCGATGCTGGAACTGGGTATGACTAGTTTAATGAAGAGAAGGACTAGGGGAGACATGATAGCAGTGTTCCAATATCTCAGGGGTTGGCACAAAGAAGAGGGAGTCAAGCTATTCTCCAAAGCACCTGAGGGTAGGACAAGAAGCAATGGGTAGAAACCAATCAAGGAGAGAAGCAACTTAGAACTAAGGAAAAATTTCTTGACAGAACAATTAATCAGTGGAACAACTTGCCTCCAGAAGTTCTGAATGCTCCAACACTGGAAATTTTAAAGAAGATGTTGGATAACCATTTGTCTGAAGTGGTATAGGGTTTCCTGCCTAAGCAGGGGGTTGGACTAGAAGACTTCCAAGGTCCCTTCCAACTCTGTTATTCTATTCTATTTATCAGTAGGCAGATATTCAATTGTCCATTGATCAAATAGGAAGTTGATTTTCCAGTTATTATTACACTGCAACCCACTTGATCTCCCAGTATTGGCTATGTTGGCTGGATCTGACATGGGCTCAGTTTCAACAACAGCCAGAGAATACATTGCCCAGGAAGAACCTTTCCAAAACAGGTTCTCTGAAGACTGCCGTTTTAACCCAGCTTTCAGTTCTCTCCATCTATTTGGAGAGACAAATTTACATGCCAAAATAACCAGGCACAAAGATAGTTTCTTCCCCCATGCCATCACTCTGTTGAACACCTAACTCCCACAGCACTGTCTTATGCCTAAAAATATTTACCCATGTAGTAGCCTATATTGGTATTATCCTTGTCATCTTCTCATTTTTTCCCATCTTCTCACTTTTCTCACCTCTCATCTTTCTACTACATTCTCCTGTTGGCATATTATGATTGATCAATTGTTTGTATCTTAGGATTTATGATAAATGATTGATCACTTTGTTGTTTCTATGTACATTGAGAGCTTTTGCACTGGAGACAAATTCCTTGTGTGTCCAATGACAGTTGGCCAATAAAGAATTCTATTCCATTCCATTCCATTCCATTCCATTCCATTCTATTTATACTTTTTTGCAGTTTTTTCATATCATTAGGCACATTGACAAAACAAATAGAATTTGGGTATGATGGTAAACTAAGCATCTAGATTCTTTCTGTCTCTGGGGCTTTAAGCAATGCATGTTTGCAGGTGCATACCAGTAACATAGAAGAAAAATCTGGATTCAGTCATAAAAGGGAAACATCCAAATTAGGTTCCTTCCAATGTGCATGGTTATAAACAGGGGAAGAGAAAATATCTTAATCCTTTTCAAAATGTGGTTTAAGAGAGTGGAGGGATGAAAAACTAATCTAAGAAACCATATTACATCTTGACAAGTTCTGCTTCACACAGCATGCTAAGACAATGGTTGGGTTCAGAGGTGGGTTTCAGCAGGTTCTGATCAGTTCTGGAGAACCGGTAGCGGAAATTTTGAGTAGTTCGGAGAACCGGTAGTAAAAATTCTGGCTGGCCCCACCCCATCTATTCTCTGCCTCCCAAGTCCCAGCTGATCAGGAGGAAATGGGGATTTTGCAGTAACCTTCCCCTGGAGTGGGGATAGAATGGAGATTTTACAGTATCCTTCCCTTGCCATGCCCATCAAGCCACACCCACCAATCCATGCCATGCCCACTAAGCCACACCCACCAATCCATGCCATGCCCACTAAGCCACACCCACCAATCCATGCCACGCCCACCAAACCACGCCCACAGAACTGGTAATAAAAAAATTTGAATCCCACCAGCAGTTGGGTTCCCCCAAAACCACAGTCCAGGCTAACATGTTGTTTGAAACCAGCCTGTGCATCTTTCTTGCTAACCTTGGTTGAATGAGAAACTGTGGGATAAAGAACAATCCAAAGTCAGCTTTATAGAAGTGACATGACAGAGGCTCTTGTGAGTTAGTCTGTCCATGATCTTTTTTTTTGTTTTTTTTAGCTTTATAGGGTTCTGTTAAATATCTTCTTCTTCTCATCCTCTCAAACTCTCCTCCCCCCCACCCCAGTGCCTTCATATTTCCAAAGGTTTTCGGAAATCCGATTACAAAGCTTTTTGTGTTTGCTATCTGGGAGAAGCATCTTGTTGTCCTTAGGACAAAACACCACATTCTGAGGGTTATATTTTCGCCAAATATTTCTGAGCACACAGCGCAAGTGTAATGGTGCGCTACAAATAAGAAACAAATGTGCACGTATTTTTGCAAAAAAAAAGAGAGCGGGGGAAGAGCGGGTGGTGGAAGAAAGCAAGGCAGAAGGCTCTCCACTTGTGATTTTTAGGAGGGAGGGGGAGGAAGAAGACACACACATCTGCCATTTCTCTGGGCTCCCCCCCCTCCCCGGCCTGGCTGAGATGCAGAAATGATCAATAGGGAAATGGTTCTGGACAGAGTACACACACCGTGTTCCTTCTTGCACATCACGCCGCCTTCCTGAGGAGATGGTCTGTGTTTGCTCCTCCATCTCCCTCCCAGCTCTGGCTCGGAGGCCTGTTTCCAATGACAGACTTGCCACGGGCGTTGCGACGGCCCCGCACAAAGACTCGCTCGAAGTGGATTTTGTATTTACGAGAACGAGATGTAACTGGGCCTCTCCTCTCCCAGAAGTTTGGGAAAAAGAACAGCTGGATTCTGGCACCTTCTGCTGTGACAAGGACTGTTTCAAACAAAGAGCTGGATCCGGGGAGGGTACTATGCAGAGAAGGGAGCACCGGGCTTCAAAATGCAAACCAGCTCGCAGTAAATGGACTTTAGCAGCCCCAGCTGGGCTTATTTTAGAACCCGCCTTGGCAATGGGGGTCGGGGGGGAGGTTTAAAAAGAGAATGATCTCAACATGAGGATTCTATTATTAATATACTTATTACTCAGACTCCTAAAATGGATGAAGCAGTGGTTCTTTTATGCTGCATAGAGGAAGTATTCCCCCAGGGCATGTTCTACATCCCATGTGATGTCATGCAAGGCAGACATCTGGACCTGTGGCAGATCCTCTTGAACATGTGTATGTTGTTGTGTGGATGTAAGCATGTTCCCCCCTCCCGATTAAGAGAAATTTGATTTTAACGTGAGGGAAAAAAATGCACAATCTAGACTGATGGTATCACAAGTTTGTCATTCCTGGGCAAACACATCAGAGTGATGTCACAGAATGTTCAATATTATCCTAGTTGCTCCATCTAAAAAAATCAAGCCACAGAGGAATTATGAAATCTTTGGGCTTTTTGAGGGGCAAATAATCTTTGATGGAGTTGTGGGGGGGTGTGGTGTGGTGTTAGATGTTTCCTGTTACTGGAAACAGGGCAGCAATGAAGTGGTGAGCAAGTGGCAAGAACTAGGGAATTGAGAGAGTGGAGGAAGGAATAAGAAAGAAGTTCTCCTTTCCAGAAGCACTGCAAAGATTCAAGTCAGAAATATTCCTCCATCCGCTCAGTTTTTGGAACGGAATATAATAAGTTCAAGCTATTAGAAAGATCAAGTTCCCTAAGTTTAGTTGTAGAAATGAATGGTAGGAGCTTCTGCAAGCCTGCAAGATGCATTGGTATCCAGACAGAGGAGTGACAAAGTTGAGGAAGGCACTTCTGTTGCTGGTTTGCCCATTACACAGTTTCATGGGAAGATTTTTTTTTTTTTTTTTTTTTGGTAAGGAACGAGGGACCATCTAGAGGTAACATTTTTCTAATTCTTGGACTAGCTTCAGAATTTTGATTTTTCTTAATGCTTTTCTGGGAAGCTCAGGAAATACTAAGCCAGTCCAAAGGGAATGCCTCTCTCTAGTCTTGTAAAATCTCCCCTGCTATGTAAGTACTGAATACAGAATAACAGAGTTGGAAGGGATCTTGGAGCTCTTTTAGTCCAAGCCCTGCTCAAACAGGAAACCCTACACCATTTCAGACAAATGGTTGTCCAATCTCTTCTAAAAAACTTCCAGTGTTGGAGCATTCACAACTTCTGGAGGCAAGTTGTTCTACTGATTAATTGTTCTAACTGTCGAGAAATTTCTCCTTAGTTCTAAGTTGCTTCTCTCCTTGATTAGTTTCCATCCATTGTTTCTTGTCCTGCCTTCAGGTGCTTTGGAGAATAGCTTGACACTCTCTTCTTTGTGGCAGCCCCTGAGATATTGGAACACTGCTACCATGTCACCTCTAGTCCTTCTTTTCATTAAACTAGACATACCCTGTTCCTGCAACCATTCATCATGTTTTAGCCTTCTGACCCCTAATCGTCTTTGCTGCTCTTCTTTGCACTCTTTCTGGAATTTCTATACCTTTTTTCTATTGCTTTCCTAACATTTACACCAATACTTCTTAAGTGGCTGGATAAATACAAAATTCCCAAAAGAGCTGCACACCGTTTTTCTGAAGTAATCAGTGGAAGTCAAAGTTGCTTACAATGCCCCTTCCTTCCCAGTAGAAGGCGCTAACTCCCATGATCCTTATCTCTCAAGAGCTGGTCAAAGAGCTCCTCACGCAGGTTGGGACAGATTAATCATCTGTCAAATTATTTTACTTTGGACACAGTACATGAAAATCTAGCTCTCTGGAGAAGGCTTTCTTGCGGGGAAAAGTGGAAGGAAAAGTAACAAGAGGACAACCAACAGAAATCTAGATGCATTCAGTTGTAGGGACTTGAAAGACCAGGTTAGGAATAGAACGTTGTGGAGAAAATCTATCTATGTGAAGTTGACAGCAACTTGATAGCATGTAATCAATCCATCAGTCAATCAAGTGGAAAAATAAACAAGCTCAGCATTGAAGATACACAGTCTATTTATGAAACTTCATCCCATAACTCATTGAGATTCTGGCATCTGCCCCTATACATTGAAGACATAATCTAATGGAGTGTTTTCACTTGCTCCCATAGAAACAAATATGAATGTGCATAAGCCACCAAACATGAAGTAAGTGCCTGATTTGTATTGATCAAGATGCTTATCCTTTTCTCCCTATATTAAATGCTGGACTGGTTGTGTTTCATAAGGTTCTTTCCAAAGTGGCCAATCAAGTGAACAGAGCTTGGGATATTTTGCATTAAGGACATGAAATCTCCTTCTTTACAGATACTTTAAATGTCACCTCTTTACTGCATACTTTCAAAGCCATCTTCGCTGCATCTGAAGTTTATTTTTAAGAAGAATATTTCAGAAGGAACTGAATAATCTGTATAAATTATGCACATGTAATTTGAGAAATTCTAGTTAAACTGGAGTTCAGAAGAGAGGGGAGATAAGACCGAGGCAAACTTCATTCCCCTCCTGCCAAAGAGCTCTATTTGTCCCTCAGCCTGCCTTGCAAAGGCATTAAATATCCCAACACATTCATACTATTCCTTCCAAATCAGCATGAAAAATATTTCAAAGCGTATCAATTTCCAAGATATATTTATTTGCTCACCCCCCCCCCAATGTGCTGCCTGTTTGTTATTGTTCTGGCACTATTTGGCAAGTTCTCCATTTTTGTAGTAAATAATCTGTGTTTAGTTTGCAAAGGGGAAAGTTGTCCTCTATGACACCCTTGAACGCTTATCTCAGGTTATTTTCCCATGAGCAATTTACAGCATCTTTTAGAGCAAAGAAGAAGTCCAACCTTGGAAACTTTAACATTTGTGGACTTCAACATCCCGAATTTCCCAGATGGTTCAGGAATTCTGGGAGTTGAACTGCACAGGTCATAAAGGGGGCCATAGTTGCCCACCTCTGCTATAAAATATTCTCATTTCATTCTGCCAATGCCCTGAAACTTGAATTATTGTGATGCATTTTTCCTTATAATATATGAATATGAATCAAGTTAAATTAAATATTGCCTAGTTATAGACCATACCAGAATACCAGAATGCTATATGTTCTTCATAGCAGAATAATAATTTTCAATTACAATGGCATATTGATTGTACACTTTGAATTATGTGATTTTGTGCTAAAATTGCATTAAAATAAAATTGTGTTA